AGGCTAGGTTATTTCTAGTGTCTTCACACACACTTACCTTACTGGTCATTTTCCATCTTGAATTTTGTAGTTATTCCTTGAGAAAGGAGGGACAATTATCTGCTAGAATCTCATGGTATGGAAAATGTTCTCTTTGGTGCTGTAAGACCTTTACCTGGTGTAAATGGGTGCAGTTCCAAACTTAACTCAGTGCTGCTCCGCTGATTTCCACAGACTCCGGATCTAGCCCATAGCAATAAGAAGTTTACTGCAGGCCCTCCGGAGCGCTTCATGCTTCGAGTAGACTTGGCTCAAACTCTAGATCTTACCTTGCCATTATCACTGACCAGTGGAGCACCCTTGTGAAACTCTAACCCTTAGGGCCAAATTCAACCATACTCTTTTAGTCTCATTTTGTTTTATGTTTAATTAGGAAACAAAGGGCCAGGACATGCTTGGCAACCTTCAAGCTGTTCTGAGGTAATATGCCACTGAATGTACATCATCCAGGCAATACCCTAATTAGGTCCAGGGCAACGGATTTTCAAAGGGAAGCTAGGAAAACGAGGAAACAAATCAGCTTTTCAGCCAGTAATGTGAGCAGGAGTTACAATACACTGCACACGCTTCCCTTCCCTGCAAGGAGCATTCTGGGTGATTGACCATTTTGCACCTTAGGAGAGAGTGCGCTTAAAGATTCAACTTTTGTTCTTAATTGATTGGCGTCAAGAATTTTGAGTGCTGCCTGCTCATATATTCATGCTGTTCATGGCTAGAGACACAGTGACAAGTCTGACTCCATTTGTGACCAGAGACTTAGGGGAAAATCCCTCCACATCCACAACCAGGAACGGGGTGTTGGATTAAAAGTAATAATTAATACATTAATTATTTTGGGGAAAATATGGTCCAGTACAGACCCCGGATTTGGCTTGTATTATTAGAAAGAAATATGTCTCTCAGCCTGTTCTCTCAGCCTGCTGAATTTGTGCTAAGTGAAGCAGGCCTGTTAGTTTGCAAGGTCTGTGCTAATTGTAGAAAAACATTCAGAGACAAAGAGTTTGTCCTAAAAGTGATAAGATAACAACATGTTACAAATGTTTTTTCTGAATTCGCGAACAAGATTTGTTGTTCCTCCACTTTTACATTCCTATCTTGCTTGTGACAAGTGGGATGGATAGATTCATTGGCATCTGTAATGCCCCAATGATTTGAGAATAGTTATGTTAAGTGAAATAGGGTGTGATTGTAAATGTATGTTTGAATGAGTAATAAAAGGTTGATGTGCCAGCCTAATAAATAACTACCCAGGGACATTCGGCTGAAGAATACGCAGAATGGAAATAACCGGATGACCCCATAGGGCAAAAAGGAATCCACCCCGAACTACCCCAAGGACAGAGGGGCAGAAGAACCGAAGAACAAAATAACAACAAGCTGTCACTGCTGTGCCATCTGCATGATGGACTATCATTTTAAACGTGAGAGCCGTGATTGATTATCACTTCAAATGTGAAAACAGCATGACGAAGCAAACCCTATAGATTTGAATGAGGATGAATCCCAATAAAGACAGACTCTAAAAACGGAGAACTTTGAGTCTGGTTCTGCAACCACCCTCCAGGAGCATCAGATGTGCATCTGACAATGACTCGGCTCCACCCTCGTGTCCAGGCTTCCTGGCCAGTAACATGGCACGAGCAACCGCTAGGCTGGTAACGATAACAACTTAAGCTTGCAGAACGTGTGTGTGTGTGTGTGTGTGTATGAATAAAGGATAGTAGTTATAGGACACTGTATTTTGTTTTTTCATATCTGAATTTCAACCTTGTATTCACAATAAATGTGGCTTTTTGCCTGATCCCCTTTACAAGATCCTGTTGGTCTTTATTGGTATAACAATAGCCCTGAAATAGGAGGAGGAAGGAGTCAGGATGGGACGATCCTATGATCCCTGCATAACATGGCTGTAGTTCACAGGGTTTCTTTTTGTCCCTGTGCACAGAAGGAATTTGGAAGGTGAAGGTAGTAGGAGCCACTGGGTCCATTGCTGTTGCTCTGCTATTCTTGTGATTTCTGGGGTGGAAAGGTTCCTTCCCTAATGAGTTTCACAGGACTCCAGTTTATATGGACTGGGGACAGTACTCAGGATTTAGTCCTTGATCAGTTTTATCTTCCAGTGTCTCCAGAGCCAGAAACCTTTGTATTTAATAGTGATACTATCTCAGTTTTTTACAGTGTAATGTCCTGCATCCACAAGGAGCCCCAAAACAATCTTCAAACCAGTCCTGTAGCTTTTTCACAAACAAAACTCCTACTGATGTGAATGTGACATCTTGCTTGAGTAACAAGTGTGGATGTGACCCCATAGAACAAACTTTCAAAACTAATTTCACCTTGCAAAATATGTTTGTGTTCAACAAACCAACCAGTCTACAGCAGCGCTACACAGCTGACCAGGACAGTAAATGAAGAAGAATCCTGTATTCATTTAGTATTTCTGTCCAGCACAGAGAGTGACGTAGAAAATAAAACATTTACTACATGGGGTTAATAAAACTTTGGGTTTTTGTCTATTGCCATCTAGTCTATGGCTGAGAAAGAACACTTCCATAAAATTATGTTGGGAAGTGGTGTGCTGGATTCAGAGCAAATACGTTTTCTTTTGATTTTTACAAATTTCTAGCCCAATGTTGGTAACATATAGAAGTGCTATGTGTGCATCATTATAAGCAATAAAAAGCAATGCTGTTTAGAGTCGCTGTGATTTTTAGTTTTCATTATTCAGTGCAATTCATTTAGATTGAATTTCAAAGCACTGATGGCCCTGGGATCATCCAGATAAAACCCCTAGTGTGTCTTCTCCAAACCAAGCCCGTCTGCAATGGCAGCGTGGTGTCTAAACATCTCTCTGGATATCAATTGGCACTTTGAAAAATAAATTATTTTAATCCTATGCAGTCAAATCTCGATTAAATCCTCTCCATTAAATTAATTTAAAATGCATGACATTTTATTTAAAAAATTGCATTTTAAAATATGACCTGTTTAACTACCCAAACTGTGTGTGTGTGTGTGTGTGTGTGTGTGTGTGTGTGTGTGTGTGAGTGAGGGGG